GGAAACGCGAAATGGGAATAGTCCCTTACACTATTGGAGCTCACCAGGGCATCAACTGGTGGCGCAAATACCGTTGACTTCATTATAATTCAACCACATTAACCGACCCATGACAGTCCGCGCGACCTGTCATTGGCCTATGATCCCGCCGGCGATGACGATCTGCACGCATTGGTGTGGTTGAAGCTTTAATTCTCTATCTAAAAGTGAAAACTGGTCTCCTCACCTACACTCAACATCAAATCAACCGCACCTTCCGCGACGCGAACTTTAAAGATTTTCTTCTGACACAATCATGGTGTGGGGCACCATGATTGGTATTATTTGAATATTGGTATTATTTGAAAGCCCAATAAATATCCTTAAAGAAAAACACATTTAATTTCTAAATAAATGATTATCATATACCATAAATGTGACTTGAAAAGAGACCTCACTTTGGGCTCACCTCTGGGATCAATTAGACCAAATTTTATGGTTATAAAACCAAATAATGATCACACGTATCCTCTTTAACAGATGGATGCCGATTAATCCCAACTTAACAGTTTTATAGTCATAAAAGTTGACTCAAGCGTAATAGCCTATTTTTTGAAGAAGTGACTCTGGATCCTTCTAAAGACACATTTTTGGGGTAAAAACCTATCCTTTAATGATATGAAGTTTAGAACTAGGCTTTTAAATGGTGCCAATATTGGTGGGAAGTGGGGATGCATACGTTTGAAAGTGCTTGTTGTGGGAGGAGCGATTTATTTGATGTTGAGTGTATATATGAATAAGATACCATTTCCACCGCCAGGTTACTGAACACACAGTCGTCTTACTGCTGCTTCCCCGCGGCGGCGGAGACCTATGCCTTGTCCCTCCAACTGTTGGGCTGCAGCGACTCGCGGGACGAGGCCAAGGGCGGCTACGACGAGGCGGCGCCGCACGCGCGCGCGCCCAGCCGCGACCAGGCCTGCCAGACTGACCCACAGATGTATGAAGACTACATCACCAGGTGAGGACTCTACTTGACTTGTAGCTCTGCTGCAGCGACTCGCGGGACGAGTTCATGGGCGGCTACGACGAGGCGGCCTGCCAGACTGACCCACAGATGTATGAAGACTATATCACCAGGTGAGGACTCTACTTGACTTGTAGCTCTGCTGCAGCGACTCGCGGGACGAGTCCAAGGGCGGCGCCGCACGGGCGCGCGCCCAGTCGCGACCAGGCCTGCCAGACTGACCCACAGATGTACGAAGACTACATCACCAGGTGAGGACTCTACTTGACTTAGTGCTTGTTCACGTTGACTCGCGGGCGCGGTGGCGGGCGGGGTGACGAAATATCAAACATATGTAGTGATTCCAAGTGTTCACGTACGAAACGCACGTGCGGTCTAACTGGCGGGCAAGCTAGCGACTGGCGCGCGCGGAGCGCTCGCGGTAATTTCAACGCGTGAAGATGTTTGTGTGTGTTCATGTCAAACTAGCGGCGGCGCGCGCGTTTCACTCGCGACGTCAGGTAAGTTCGACCAGTTTGAACTTGTCGCTAGAAACGATAGTACGTCACACTCGCGCGAACGCCTGGTCGTCAATGTGAACACGAGCTCGCGACGTTTCCCGCGCCCGCGCCCGCGCGTGCCTACGTGAACAAGCATTTATAGCTCTGCTACAGCGACTCGCGGGACGAGTCCAAGGGCGGCTACGACGAGGCGGCGCCCAGTCGCGACCAGGCCTGCCAGACTGACCCACAGATGTATGAAGACTACATCACCAGGTGAGGACTCTACTTGACTTGTAGTGAGGCCGCAGCGAATTTGGACTCGCTGTGTGACTCCACTTGACTTACACATTTGTCATCGTCATTCTATTGTTTTTAATATTAGGTAAAGGTATACCAGTTTGCTTCACTAGTGTCAATGTGGTGTCCTACGTCAGCAAGAAGCGACACGTTCTTTTAGACTTAGGACTCCGTCGCATCACGCCGCATATGGCAAGTAGGCCGCAAGCAAGGAATTACATTTGTTTGATCGTGCTTGGCGCGTCGTATCACATCTCGCTCGTCGCTGACTTACGACACCTCCTGACTTACTTAAAACTCTACAATAGACTGAGCTGAAGAGCACCGCTCCCCTGCCACGCTATCGCGAGGTTTTCAAAACGTGACCACGTCTTCCTTGTGATGCAGAAACTTTTAGCGCTCCTGCACACGACGCCGCCACCGCGCCGTCGCGGCGCCCCTACACTGTTCATACGCACCGAGTAAAGCCCGCCGCCGCGCCGCCATCGCGCCATCAAAGCATAATGAGGGCTATCGTTTTAGCGCTCATCAGTTTGCGCCACTGTAGAGTAAGGTCCTGTCACTTGCTAGTAGCGAAGACAGTGGCACCAACTGGTGAGTGCTAAAGTGGTAGGAGGACTATCGCATTTGCACTCATCAAGATGGCGCCACTGTAGAGTAAGGTCCTGTCAATCGTCAGGGGTGCCAACTGTTAAGTAAAAAACGATAGCCCTCATTTCGCTAGCGGCGCCGCGGTGGCGCGGCAGCGGGCTTCACGCGGCGCGTATAAACAGTTCAAAGGCGCGGCGGCGGCGTCGTGTGCAGGAACGCTTAGAATTAATTAGAGCGCGGGATTTTTTTTTTATCTCTTGCCTGTATCTCACCTGATGATAAGTGACGATCAGGTCGAAGGTGGATTTTTGTGTGTTTTGAAGATTTTGTGTGTATAATATCGTTATAGTGTCACTTTCTTTTCCAGTCTAGAGAATCCCCCGCCAGACGACGCGGAAGAGGTGGAAGGCGGGTTCAACGTGCAACACCAAGCCGTGTGGGGCATGGGGGCGCTGGCGCCGCGCGTGCTCAAGGAGTTCAGCGCGCTCATGTTCGTGCGCTGCGACTACAGCGCCGCGCACCGCTGGAGCCTGCGCGCGCAGCGGCTGCTGGCGAGGCACACGCCCGTGCGGTGAGTGCACGCGCGTGTGAAGGAGTTCAGCGCGCTCATGTTCGTGCGCTGCGACTACAGCGCCGCGCACCGCTGGAGCCTGCGCGCGCAGCGGCTGCTGGCGAGGCACACGCCCGTGCGGTGAGTGCACGCGCGTGTGAAGGAGTTCAGCGCGCTCATGTTCGTGCGCTGCGACTACAGCGCCGCGCACCGCTGGAGCCTGCGCGCGCAGCGGCTGCTGGCGAGGCACACGCCCGTGCGGTGAGTGCACGCGCGTGTGAAGGAGTTCAGCGCGCTCATGTTCGTGCGCTGCGACTACAGCGCCGCGCACCGCTGGAGCCTGCGCGCGCAGCGGCTGCTGGCGAGGCACACGCCCGTGCGGTGAGTGCACGGGTCAACGTGCAGCACCAAGTATATAGTTCGAGAATACTGGAAAGAGTCCAAGATAATATATCGCACTACGTACTCACTAAAGCCTGGTCCGTGAGCACGTAGAATTTTGTCCAATGACCCCTAGCTACCCATCCTTATCGCTCGCGCGTAATTATATTGCTGTCGCGACTGTGCGATGGGCGCCCGCGGTGAGTGTGCGAGAGCAACAGCAACATAATTACGCGCGAGCGATAGGGATGGGTAGCTTGGGGTCATTGGACGGGATTCTACGTGCTCACGGACCAGGCTTTAAAAAGGTCCCGTCTGATGAAGTCTACGCTCCGATCCTACAATTCCCATATTCACTGCCCCGAAAGCTTTCAGCTCGAGTTTTGCATGCCTTGAAAACTGCGAGTCAGTGGACGACATTAATAACGGGCTCGTAGAAACTGTCCAGGCGGCTAGCGGCTGGGTTTAAATTCTTCAGACCCCGTCGTAAAGACAGGCCGCAAAAGCTAACCGACCACACTCTCACTATAGGCCTTATACAGAAGCTCAAAGTTGCACAGCGTACTATAAAGAGGGCTATGCTCGATGTTTATTTACGAGATCGAATCAGAAATGAAGGGGTCTGTAAACGAAATAAAGTCACTGACATAGCCCGACGGATTAGCAAGCTGAAGTGGCAATGGGCAGGGCACATAGTACGCAGAACTGACGGCCGATGGGGCAGCAAGGTTCTGGAGTGGAGGCCGCGTACCGGAAAACGCAGTGTGGGACGTCCACTCACAAAGTAGACCGACGACATCATAAAGGTAGCAGGAAAGCGCTGGACCCAGGCCGCTACCAACCGGGTAACATGGAAAGTATTGGGGGAGGCCTATGTTCAGCTGTGGACGTCCTATGACTGAGATGATGATGATGATGAAAAAACTCGATCGGATTTTTTATACAAGAAAATAAAAATATTGGAAAATACATCTAACAAATCTTGTGTCCAACAATGTGACTTAACCGTACTTGTGACCCGCAGGATCACAGTAGAGGTGGTGCTATCGTGCGACAAGGCGTGCGTGAAGCGCCTAGCTTTGCTTCTTATCAGTGTCTTACCAACTGTGTTTCTTGCGTTAGCGCAGTGTTTTTCAACCTTTTTCATGACACGACCGCGTATGAAAAAATTTTTGGCGACCCCCCGACCGTTCGCTTTTTTTTTCATGCATTTTATAATATTACAAAGATGAGGAGAGATGAGGGACCGAATACGTACTTCAATCCATACAACATTTGCATAATTAGATTTCGGATTAATCTGTCTTTATAAGAATTTTTTTTACTGAAGTAGTTTTTACGACCTCTCGCGACCCCCCTATAGAGGTTTCGGGGGTCGCGACCCACAGGTTGAAAAACACTGCGTTAGCGGATCTGTGTAGTTTGTGGCGTCATTTCTTCAATTAACCCTTCATTTGGCAGTGATGCTTTTAAGCAACAACCACTTTGAATATTTCTACAGGACCTAATAATAAGTTTTGTGCAAATCTTTCGATTTTGTCACGAAGCTTAGTTCAGCAAAACACTAGTAAATCGGTCGTCGACTTAGTTTTGAGTGATTTTATATCCATATTTCTGTCAGATGTCAAGATGACGCGCAATGAGAATAACAAAGACGGAAGTTTTATGATTTTATACTATTTTATGATCTCCAATTGTTTTTGTTTTGTCTAAATTTTGTTCATAATAAATCAAACTAATCATATAAAGTAATATTTGGCGTAGAAACAGTGTTTTTAATACATGACATGCTTCCGAACCTCGATGTTGCCTAGAAGCAACAGTGCCAAACATCTAACAAAATAGGTTTAACTTTTTGTCAATACAAACGAGTGTCAATACCCAATAAATCAATCATGTATTACATGAATATTGTGATGTAACTAAAAATTTATGGTTTTCGTAATTTTTCCTTTATCTATGCTATAAGACGTTGCTTCGTACCAAATTTCAAGATTCTGAGTTCACGGGAAGCACCCTGTAGGTTTTGATTCCCTTGCAAGTGTCGAAAATTTGAGGCATAAACGGCTGTATCTTTTGATTACGTTGGCTTAGAAGTTTGATTTTTTCACAGCTTCAAGGGACAGTAGACCTGAGTAATTGATATAAATTTCAGCTTCATACCTCCACGCGTTCCTGAGAAAAAGGGTCTTGACAGACGGACGGACGGACAACAAAGTGATCCTATAAGGGTTCCGTTTTTTCCTTTTGAGGTACGGAACCCTAAAAATTAATTGATGTTCATTAGTCTGATTAAAACTCGAGAACGGCTGGGCCGATTGAGCTGATTTTGGTGTTAAAATGTTTGTCGTAGTCCAGGGTAGGTCTAAACGGTGAGCAAATAAGGAAAGATAGAATCCAAAATTTGCTTATTTATTGCCTTTAAGGCGGAACAGAGTTCGCCGGGTCAACTAGTTAGTAATATTTTTCAATTTTTAAGATCCGTAAGCACATAGACTAGACTAGAGCATAACACATGCGGACTGGAACCCAAAAATTTTTTTACATTCAAAGTCGTCACTTACGACGCGCGATGCAGCGCCATTGACATAACTTAATGTTATAAGCTGGGTCTACATCGTGTGATCCACCGCGCTCCGATCGCTCGAGGCTCTTATGTCAAATGTAGACGTACCGAACGCTTGAGTGACATGATCTTTAAGAATGACTCTAATTTCGTTACGACCGCTACAGATGTCAGCATAGGTGGAAATTAAACCTTAACAGTTTCACAATGAGTCTAATTACGTTTAACAGGAGGCGCTGGGCACCCTTCGCAGCGTGTTTGGATCTCGCAGCCTGCACGTGGCAACAGCTCAGGAGGACCTGGCGTACGCGCTGTACGTGTTGGAATACTCCTCCGGCCGCTTCTACAAGGCGCGCGACCACGCTGAGCGCGCCATACACATTATTGAGGTGATTATAGTCTGGTCTGCGAGCACGTGGAATTATGTCCAATGACCCCAAGCTACCCATCCTTACCGCTCGCGCGTAATTATGTTGCTGTCGCGCTGACACACTCACTGCGGGCGCCCGTCGCACAGTCGCGACTCGCGACTTGGTCTATTCCACTTTGATCACCTGGCTTTGATGACCCAGGTGATCAAAGTCCACTTCCAGCGACAATTTTGTGTTCTTTGATCACCCACGGATATGATGCCCTGGGTGATCAAAGTGGACTCCAGTTAAATTATTATTTTAGTGTCCTTTGATCACCTACATACAAATCACACCTCCTATTATACTTAATGTAAGGACAAACATTGTTTAGGTAAGTAACGCTTTAAAATAAAATAAAAAAATGTAAACTGTAAAAACTGTTAAAAAAATTGTCTATATTAAGAAAATGTTAGTACTTACCGTGTCTATTCAGATGAGGTGTGATTTGTATGTAGGTGATCAAAAGACACTAAAATAATAATTTAACTGGAGTCCACTTTGATCACCCAGGACACATATCCGTGGGTGATCAAAGGACACTAATTTGTCGCTGGAAGTGGACTTTGATCACCTGGGTCATCAAAGCCAGGTGATCAAAGTGGAATAGACCATATAATTACGTGCGAGCGATAAGGATGGGTAGCTTGAGGTCATTGGATCAAAATTCTACGTGCTCACAGACCGGGCTTAGAATAAAACTTTGTCTAACTGTGGACGTTCTAAAAACAAAATGACATTTATCATAAGCGAGGTTTAGACTAGCAATAAAACTTGCAGAAGTTGACTTCCGCAAGCTGTTTACCACTGTGTAAATAGCTGTGGCAAGCCAACTTTTGTAAGATTTACACTATGGTGACATTTTGTAGAAGTCAATTTTTGAAAATTGTATTGCTAGTCCTAAACCTTGTTTTAAGGTCTACGCCAAAACTTACGGGCTAGTGCCCGCTTCGGATAAGTATTCGATGCAAGTTTGGTCCCACGCGAGCACTCGCCGCGTGCGTCTGTCTGCGTAAAAATACACGCCAGTTCCTCGCCGCGTGTGAGGAAACGTCGCACGCATTCGCCACACTGTGCTGTTCGATACAGACCGCATGAGTTTCAGCAAAGGCCCTTAGATTGATTCATTAGTGACCCTCTGACTGCATAAAATCTATCTCCATTTTGTCATAATGTCATCAGGCCATCTTTCTTTGAATCTCCCAAGTCTTAACATTTCTCTTCCCTTCTTGTAACGTGTGCAAGAAATAAAGCTATTTTATATTATTTTGCATGCCGAAAGGTGAAAGATAGAGATAGTTCAACCTATGTAACCCTGTCCACGTAAACCCATGTTCGCAACTAACTTGACTTACTTGACTTATGGTCCTATGTCCCCTAGATGGGGCAGAGGGCGTCCACAACAGTCCTCCATCTCGTTCGGTCTTGAGCTTCTCGCTTGATATAACAATGATTTTAATTATTGTATTTTTTTTCCTCCAGAACCTGGTGCCCCCCGACCACCTGCTGCTGGCTTCAGCTAAACGCGTGAAGGCGCTGATTCTGGAGGAGATTGCACTCGACACGCCCGCCGGGCAGGACCTCAGCGGTATGCACCAGCGCCTGCGATCGCGC